AGCTTCTCCAACATCTCTCATACATAACCATGGCCTTGTAAACCCCTGATGATCTTCAATTTCCCTCCAAGATAGGAGGTAACCAACACTTGGCAATCTTCTCTCTCAGAGAGCTTTGACCACCTCTTGATGGTTGTAAACATCAGATAACTTGAGTAAGCACTCTTGGTGGAGCTTGATACCCTTGATAACCTTCTCTTGGATGGCACACTTCCCTTGATCCCCTGCAAAATACAATGTTATGCAACATGCAAATGCTGAAGAATGAAATGAAACATAAGCCAAGTAAAGAAAAAGGTTGGGTGAATTTTGGGGTACAACACCATGTGCTTGGATTTCATTTATGCATCCAATCATACATGCATGCTTTATAAAAAAAATCTCTTAGTGTCTTATTCTTGTTGCAGATAAAAGCATTTTCCATAAGCAATCATGATGAATGTGAATCTATGGACAATGAAGCTAAACAAGAAGACCGACAAAAAAAGTACTTTCACTTTCAAATACAAAGATGCTTCAATTGACAGTCTGAAAGCTCTAAGTGCCATGATTACCCCCATTAAGCATAACAAATTTCATGCTTTTTATGGGAGAATCTTAGATTTGTTGATAGAAAATATAAAATATGAAGCCCTCACAACTTTAGCTCAATACTATGATACTTCTCTTCGTTATTTCATCTTTGCTGATTTTCAAATAGCTCCCACTTTAGAAGAGTTCGAGAAGATATTGAATCTCTCCATTAAAGATTGCAATCCTTTTCCGAAGCTTGAAGAAGAATTCACTTTGAAGAAAGTGGCTTCTGCCTTGGGGATTCCCACAAGAGATGTGACAGCCAATTGAGCACCCAAAGGAACCAGGGGATTCTCGAGGAAGTTTTTAGAAGAACAAGTATGGAAGTATGCCAAGGAACAAAAATGGGAGATATGTGGTTCAATTTTGGCGCTCTTGGTCTATGGAATCGTGATGTTTCTAAATGTGGAAAAAATTGTGGACCAAGTGACAGTGGAAATTTTCTTGATCGAGAACCCTGTGCCTTTCCTCCTAGGTGACTTCTACCATACACTTCATACTAGGCATACAAAGGGAGGTGGAAAATTCCTCTGTTGCACCCCATTCCATGCAAGCATCCTGCCTTGGACATTCTCTTATACCCTTATCCTAACCTTAGGATTAGAGTCGTCGTGCTCCCTGTAATTTCCTGCCATGGAAATTCACTCTTTTCCTTCCCTTCATCCTAGCCTTAGGATTAGAGTCGCCACACTCCATGTAAGATCCCGCTGTGGACACTTATTTATCTTTCAACTCAACTTAGATTTGAAGTCGCCGCACTCCATGTAAGTGTCTCACTATGAACACTTACTTCCCTCTGGAACCTTGACCATAGCCAAGAGTTCCTCACTCTCGTTGAGGAGAACTACGAATTCTCTGATTCTGTTCCCGTCAGGATCCGTAGGCACGAGATGTGATGTCTTGGCAAGCATACTTAGGACTAACCCCTTAGGTCTCCCTTCAACCTTTTAGCAGATAACAGATAACAAATAACACTAATACTTACAAGAAGTTCCTGTAGAGTACTATAGATACTTGGGATGCTAACACCTTCCCTAGGTATAACCAACCCCCGAACCTTAGATCTCCCGCATTATTTTTACAGTGCAATTAGGACTTTTTTTTGTTCTTTAACCTTTCCTTTGGATAAATCAAAGCTCGGTGGTGAATTTCAAAGATCTGTGATTCAAGTTAATCAATAGCTTGATATCATATTCTCACCGCAACATTTTTCATCCACGCTTTTGGTCTCTCTTGCTAACGTCCATTAACAGAAGCTGATGTGGCAATGTTAGTGTGGCAAAAATGCTGACATGGATGCCACATGACATATTTTCACCATTTTATATTATTTATATTAATTAAATTTATAGTGACAAATATTTTATCGCTAACATGAACATCATAAAGAAAACTATAAACCATAGCTAATATGTAGCTAATTCAAACACATCATTCTTATGACTTAGACTTCATTTTTTTATGATGTTTTACAATAAAATTTATCACATTATAAGGATCTCTCTCAAAAAAATTTATGCAAAAAATACAAAGTTTAGGTCATAAGAATGACGTGTTTGAATTAGTTAGGGATTAACTACATATTAGCGACGTTTTCAAGTTGGTTTTATGATGTTCATGTTAGCGACGAAATCTCTGTCGTTATAAATTCAATTAATATAAATAATATAAAATGGTGACAAAATGTTATGTGGCATCCATGTCAGCATCTTTGCTACGCTGACATTGCCACTTGTCATGCCACACCAGCTTCTATTAACGGACGTTAGCATAAGGGATAAAAAATGTGGATGGAATATATTAGGAGAATTTAGGCATGGCAAACAAACTCGGACTCGCACCGAAATTAACGGAAAAAACCTAATTTAATTGGGTGCTAGGAAAATCTGGTTCTTAACTACGGGTGCGGGAGCGGGGACAGAAAGACACTAAGACCTGTCCGCACCCACACTCGCCTCGTCCCCGAATATTACAATTTACTGTAATTTCCTTATTTTACTTATTTTAATATTCATTTATTAATTATATTTTTAATTAAATTATTAATTTCCTTATTGCAATTAAAATAATCAAGTTAATATTTATTTATTAAATAAGTTTTTAATTAAATAATTAATTAAGTTATTAAAATAATTAATTTTTTAATTAAATTATTAATTTGTATTACAATTAAAAAAATCAGTTTGTTGCGGGTGGGGACGGGGCGGGTGCGGGAAAAGTCGTTCCCGATTGTGGACGGGTATGGACGATAAATTTTTACTCGAGACTAGGTTTGGGAGCGGGGGCGGCTTTGCTACATAGAAGCGAGTGCATGTATAATTACATTTGTCTCTATTCCGCCCCGTTGTTATGCCTAGGAGAATTTTTTTTGAATTTTTTTTAAGAACTAAAATAAAATTTGAATTTTTATTATTATATCAAGATAAAATTTTCATTTATATAATTCTTATTTAATTAATTTTACTCTATATTCTATTGAAATTCTAAGAGAAAGGGTGTTATCTCGTGGTTTTTTTCTTTCATCTATGATTTCTACTTCTTGATCCAATGTAAGAGTACCCAATGTGACACCACTATATGTACGCAATTTATCAATTAGGCTGTAAAGAAAATAAAATCGATCTGAAATTTACTTGAATCAAATGGAATCATTTTTATTTATTTAGAATTATAATTATTGATTTAATGCACCGTTTTGAAATCCTTAACCTTATAGGATAGTTAGAAGTTAATATTTTTTAAACTGAACTATTATTAAATTACATAATTATTAAACAATATTTTAATTTCAATTTCAACTTAGTTACAATTTCGATTTAGTTTGATTTCACTTTTAATTTAGTTCTAAAATTATTTGTAGAATATAATTTGATTTATTATCTAAATAAAACAATTCAATTATTTCAATTTTAATTCAGTTTTATTCATAATTCAATTCAGTTTATATATAATTTTATTAACGGTCCTACCTATCACATATTGATTTAATAAAAGAAAAGAAACATTGCCCAAATGATGATTAAAGGCTAGGACTTCACGTGGGGTTGATAAAGACTCTAAGTTCAAATGAATATCAAAACTTGGTCCAAATGGCTCTAGATTATTTATTTTTTATTTATTTATTTATGTATTCATGATACACATAAAAGTTATCAACATGAAGAAGAACAATCCAAGGAAGCTATGCCTTTCCTGAATATTAATCATCATTCCAAATTTCCAATTAAAAAGCATCCACTCCCCAACAAGGACATCCCAAACCGACTTATCTTGAATTTGACAAAGAATCAATACCAAAACATTCAATCAACTTGTTTTAATGACTAATATACCCTTCACACTTGGTCCATAAAACAATTATTGAAAATCTTATCCCTTCTCAGCCGTCCATGAGAATCTTTAGACACACTAATCAAAATAAATTAAGTAGTATTAGTAAAATGTCATATTCCTCATCTAATTTGAAGAAAATATATTTGACATATTGGAAAAAAAAGCTACTACTATATAAGAGTTTATAAGATTTTTTTTATATTTATTAAGAAAATTTAAATTTGTGTATCTTTAAAAGATGTTGTATATGAAAAAAAAAAAAGAGAAAAACCAAATTAAATACAATTTATATTTTATTTTATTTTGGAAAAGATACATTTTAAAAAAATATATATTTAAATAAAATAAGATTGATGCTTTATTTTATAATTTATTACATAAGAAAATTTTATTTATTTATAAACCGTTTCGAAGGAAGTATAATATATATATATATATATATATATATATATATATATATATATATATATATATATATATATATATATATATATATATATATATATATATATATATATAATTAAAATTATCATTAATATGAGATTGAATATACTATAAAAGATTGGTTGATTAATAAATTTGATTCATATTTTTTTAATTTATATTTTATCAAAAAAATATTCATAAATTTTTTATTAAAAAAAAAACAATTATCACAAACATACAGCTACAGACTTTAATCCCTCAAACGGGAAATAATCATAATTTTAAAAATAAATCTAACACTAATACATATTTAAGATAATCTGTATTAAGCTGAAAAGACTTTTACACCATCATCCCAAAGTTCTTAATACAATCATAACAATTTTAAATATTTACTCCATGATAATTTTTTTTAAATAAATAAAAAATAGATTTAACCACATATTAATAAAAGGGCAATTTGGGAAAATAGAAATGCCTTTTGGAAAATAAGTTGCATATGGACCAAGCAAAGTTTGAAAAGCCAATAAGAACATTAATTCAAACATAGAATCTCTTCACATATATTATACTTACAAACACTAAGAAATCACCACATTCTCTTCCTATCTTCAACTTTTCCCATTCTTCTTCCTCCTCTTTGCAATAAAAGTACAATTCAAGAAACCATGGATGTATCAGAAAAGCTTCAAAAATATAGATACCCTATAACAATAGCAATATTAATTTCAATATTATTTTTGTTAGTGATATATGCAGCACCACATTTTCTAACGATTCTGACTTATTTTTGGCCTTTATTTGCTTCCACTACTGTGTTCTTGATAGCAATAATTGCCTTTGGAGGTGTTTCAAAATTCTCAAGTGAAACTCATGGTGAAAAAGCAGGTGAAGGACTCTTGGATTATGTAGCAGGAAAGCCAGAACATACTCAAGAGGCTCAGTATTTTTAAGTCAATCAAGAGTTCATGTTTCAGGGTTATTTCAGATGGGTCAATTAGAACTGTTGAAAACCTTTCAAGTTGATAATCCATGTTCAATAATGTCATGTTATTTCGGCTGTAAGAGATAATTGTATCAATCTATAATGTGTATAATGATTGTCACTACAATATGTAGTTTTTAAATGCATGATCTCATTGTTTTAGTTTTAATGTCATTTTCCTATGCCTAAAACTTTTTTTTTTAATAGAAAATATATAAAAGACAGCAAATGACTTCCAGCTTAACTTGAGGTTATGGGTTTAAATACAGCCATAAACATGCAGGGTTCATACAAAGGAAAGTTTTACATGATATCCCTACAATTATACTCATACTCCTACACTAAAAATTTTTGGACCGAAATATCCTCGTATAAAAATTTATAATTTTTTTTATTTGTTCACCGGAAGACTTTTTGCAAGTCTTCCGGTTCATATTTTTTTCGTTTGTTCACCGGAAGACTTTTTCGAAGTCTTCCGGTTCACATTCTTTTTCGTTTGTTCATCGGAAGACTTTTTGCAAGTCTTCCGATTTATATTTTTTTTCGTTTGTTCACTGGAAGCTTTTTTGGAAGTCTTCCGGTTCATTTTTTTTTTTAATTTTTAATTAATATTTAAGATTTATTAATTTTATATAAAGACCAATTTAGTGAATTTTTGTCTATTATACTTAATATATAAAAATTTTATAAATAAAGAATCATTGTCATAATATTTTCTATTTGATATAATTATTAGAATACTATGAGATTAAAATCATTTATTTTAAATTATCATAATAGTAGAATTTTCTCAAATATCTTATTAATCTTGAAAATTAATGAATAAAATAAATTTAAATATAGGATATAAGTTTACATTATTCAATATATTTAATCAAATGAAAATATATTTGATAAATCAATAATGTATTTTAACTTAAAATGATCACAATAAGTTAACTTGCAAAATAATATAAGTAATAAATTAATAATGTATTTTATTTAAAATAATCACAATAATAGAACACGCAAATAATGTGTTTTATTTATAGGACTGATATAGTTTTATTGATTATTTAATTTTGAATACTACTATGAATATAGTATTTAATCTATACTTTAGAACTCACATAATTATAAATATAAAACAATATTGTTTTATTACCCATATTTTTATTTAATTAAAAAAATTAAGAATATAAATTTATTATTTGTTTTTCATTTTTGTTTGATCTTTTTTTATTTATAACTTTTTTTTTGCATGTTCTATACTGTGCTTGCTTTAAATAAAATATATTATTTATTTATATCTTATATTTTTATTTTATTAAAAATATTAAATAAATCGAAATTATTACTTATATTTTAATTTGATTGATTTATTTAATTGAAAGTTCGATTTAGTTTTTGTTTTTTGCAAGTTATATTATTGTGATCATTTTAAATTAAAATACATTATTGATTTATCACATATGTTTTCATTTGATTAAACATATTGAATACGGTAAATTTGCAAGTTTAATAAGATTTGTTTGCAAATTCTAAATATATAATACTAATGTGATAATATTATGATAATTATAGCAAATAGAAAATATTTCTAAAAAAATTCTCTATTTATAGAATTTTTATATATTAAATATAATAGATAAAAATTTACTAAAATGGTGTTTATATGAAATTAATAAATCTTAAACATGAACCGGAAGACTTCCAAAAAAGTCTTCCGGTGAACAAACGAAAAAAATATGAACCGGAAGACTTGCAAAAAGTCTTCCGGTGAACAAACGAAAAAAAATGTGAACCGGAAGACTTCCAAAAAGTCTTCTGGTGAACAAATGAAAAAAATATGAACCGGAAGACTTGCAAAAAGTCTTCCGGTGAACAAATGAAAAAAATTATAAATTTTTATACGAGGATATTTTGGTCCAAAAAATTTTAATGTATGGGTATAATTGTAGGGGTATGGAGTAAAATTTCCTCATAGAAGGACAGTGCAAGGAACTTTCTAAGGAAATGCTACGCAATACGTCGGCCCAACGCCCATTTGAGGGAAATACGGAAAGTGACGTTTCTTTATCCATAGCGGTATGGGAGAGGGATTAAAGAAGGAGAAGTTACGTTTTCGAGAAAAATAAGGGAAGTAACTACCCCGATTCGCGTTCCTAAATGTGTGAAGTACAAATATTGTCTTCTTGAGTTTAAAATCTGAGGTTCAACAGGCTATTATAAATATCTCAACATTGAGGTTGAGAAAAACATTAAATTCTCTTTGAAAAGCACCATAGACAGAGCTTCTCACCTGCTTACATGAGAATCTTAAAAACCTCTAACAATCCTTAACTACAAGGAGTTGTCACATATTATATTTTTAACAAGTACAATTGGCGTCCATTATGTGGCTTTAGTAAAACATACCTGAGACTCCATCGTAATATCAAGCTTGATTGTTATCTTTGTATCCATCTCATATATCCATCATGATGAATAAGAATGTAGCAATTCTGACCAACAGTGAGTCTAACAACGATGAGGATGCCATGGCAGAAATGCGTGCTGCCATGGACGACTTACGTCGCCAAAATCAAACTCTAGAGGATATCGTACTTCACATCCAAGAACGCTAGGATGAGGTTGGCCCTTTTGGCGAAGCTGAAATCCTAGACCCTCAAGTTGGGCGCAGCGATCCATATGAACATGTCGCCTCCATCAATACACAGATGACCATTATTGAAGCACCTGAATCCTTGAAATGCAAAATTCTCTTTGGCACCTTCAGAGATACAAAATTAAGGTGGTATATGGACTTGTCACAGCTCTCGGCCACTAGCTACTAGGATCTAATGAAGAAACCCATCCATCAGTTTGCAACAATCTGACACAGAAAGTTGTCTGCCATCAGCCATTTCAACATTTGCCAAGGCCCTTCTGAATCTCTGAGGAAATTTTTTATTTGCTCCAATGAGGCGACTATCAAGGTCGTCCATCCCATCCAAAAAATGTTCATGGATGTGTTCCAAAATAGGCTAAAGGAAGAATATTTTAATGAATTCCTCACTTAGAAGGAAGTGGCTTCCTTGGTGGAGGTGCTAACACATGCAAGATACTATGTATAAAGGGCGAGGAAAATAACCCCAAAAAAGAAGTTCAAAGATGTCAAAAAGGAAACAACTAGTAACTCTAATAACTCGCAGTAGTTGCATAAGGATCATTACATCTATCTTGTGAGAGACAGGGCATCATTCAAACGAGACGGGAAAACCACAGAGTCTCATGTCTTTAAAAACTCGCTGTGAGAAAATATAACGTGAGTTCCTTCATATGAATGACATTTTACTACAGCCAGGCCCTAAGTCAGACATCATGGGGCTGAAGCCATCAAGTGGTTTAAGTTTCATAAGATGAAAAGCGTCATTCAAAAGATAGTTACTAACTTAAGAAGGAGATAAAGTGCCTCATCTAAGATGGTTATTTGAAGAAATAGGTTAGGGGAACTCCTACCTAACTCTAGGTGTATTCATCTCTCAAGGGCGAGATGCTTATGGGAGTTCTAGGTCTAAGAACAGAAATGAATCAAGCAAGGGGCAAAGACATACTTATGCTTCACACACTCAATACCATAGAAAGAGGATTTCTTGAGGGCGAAGTGATCAGTTTCTCCAGTAGGAGATATTCTCGTCAGGTTCTAACCATTGAGGGCTCACTCACAAAACCTAACTCTAGAAACAATGGAACCTTAGAATCTAAGATCACCTTCTTTGAGAGTGACACAAAAAGCATCCATTCACATGACAACAACCCTATGGTCATAACCGCAAGGTGCGATGATGACTTGGCGATTAAAATAGTATTAATTGATCAAGGAAGCTTTACATACATCCTTTATTGTGAAATTTTTGAAATACTTCACTTGGATCTAGATGACCTCAAAGCTTTTCAAGGTCGTTGGCAAGGTTCTCAGTCGAGCAAGTGCCTGTAAATGGTTATCAAGCCGAAGACCACATTTGGAGCTGAGGAGAGTGCAAAGTTGATCAAGGTAAAGATATCTCTAATTATTGACGCACCCTCTTCGTATAACATGATTATAGGATGGCCAATTTTAACTAGCTTGCATTCTCCCTGTCTATGTTATATCTATGCATGAAGTATCCACTCCCAGATGGGAGATTCAGGGTTATCCATATGGATCATGAGATCACCAAAATTTGTACATGGGGAGTCTAGAGCTAAAAAAGAATGTTATGGTTGTGGGCCATACCCCGCGGCTAGAGACACTGAAAGTGAACATTATGGACTTGAAGATATGAGTCGAGTCATAAGAGGTAACTCTTGAAGATGGATATTTGATTGCCATGTTGCTTAGGATCATGAAGGTGGGATAAGAAGAAACGAGTCTGAGACCTAGTTACTTTAGGCACTTCGCCATGTTTAATTTAGTTTAATTTATTGCTTAAATTATTTTATGCTAGATATAACATCTGCCACATGTATAGATAAATCCTTATAACACTCTTTATTTTGTAAGGACCATTCTTTTCCCTTGTGGTGGTAGTAAGACAAAGGCATTTTTAATGAGGAACCTCATATTATCATATAAACTTGAAATTATTGTTGCTTTGTCTTGCAAGAGCTAAAGTGGATAATCTAATCAAAACCACCCTTAAGACGATCACTTATGTTGGAACCTCATGAAGGAATCCTTTCTGTCCATGGAGGAAATTATTTATGTTGGATTCTCACGAAGGAATCCTTGTCGCCCGTAGAAGGCAACAACTAATGTTGGATCCTCAAGAAGAAATCCTTTCCCCTAGCCGAAGAAATCTAGGATTTCAACTCTCCCATAACTTAAATGTATGTCTTTCATTGGACTCAATCCACCAACAAGCTCTTAGCAGGTGATTCTTTGATAAGTTTGACAACTTGAGGGAGACATATTATAGATAGCCTTGTAGTCCTTAGGAGATTCCTTAGGGAAGAGGAGACGAGGTT